ACTGAAGTAGCTAAAAACTAAAAGGACTAGGCATTTACAGCAGGGGCGGATTTAGGGGGGGGCGCCCCCCCCTCAGGGAGTCGACCCCCAGCCAACATAAAGGGTCCCCCCTTTGTACTATTTTGAGATATCCATATTTGATGACGGACCTTAAAATTTTTCTAAAGGCGCCTTTGGCGCCAATATATACTAATTTTGAGGGGTGAGCGCGCGCCGAAAAAACGCAATTTTTTGGTTAAAAATTTTCCAAAAGGTGCTTAAAAACGCCTTTTTGGCCTGTTTTTTTTTCAAAATTTTGCCTGCCGCGCAGAAATTTCGGCCAACACAGGGTCTTTTTAGTGCTTTGGGAGAGCTCGGAAACTCAATTCGGTCGACCTAAAAAAAAAATGTCGACAAAATTTTTGAAAATTTTTGAAAATCCACCCCCCCCCCTTCGAGAAAATCCTAGATCCGCCCCTGATTTACAGCTAAAATTAATAAGAAATTACACAAGAAATAAATTCGCAGCAGTTTGCTCTCAGTTTAGCACTATGTGTAAATTAGTATGAAAAACTGAAAACTTCAGAGCACGTTTTCTCGACGCCGAAAACTTTTTGTAAATTCTTTTCAAAAACCCCGATCACGACTGAAAAGGCTTCAAAATGATACTACACTTGAGTCGCTAAAAGCTTTATTTTTTCAATAAGCTGTCTCGCTTGAACAAAGCCCCTGCCATAGTCCTTCGAAGTGTTCAGGAAGGGTAGGAACAAGAACGCGTAGCAGGAGAACGGTTAAGCAGTACAGAAAGTTTCGACTTCCACAACCTCTAGGAGAACAACTACTTATTAATCTGTAAATTTTCTCTGTTCCGTTTTGAATTTCGTTAGTTACAGTTTCATTGGTTTCGTTAGTTGAAAAATGTACAACAAAACCAAAAAGAGAAATGGAAAAGAGTGAGGGAACGCAAGTTCACCGAAAAAAATACGGATATCTTTTTGACAAAACCGCAAACTTTGAATTTCAAAGAAAAAAGATGGCTCTAAGCTATTTAAATTTCTAGAACAACTGTTGACCAGCACTTTTTTGATAGAGTGAACCCAATTTGAAAAAAAAAGATCAATATGTAAAATTTATATTTCGCTGGGAATTACAATAATTAAAATCCACTTTCGAAACCCAAGTCGATCACATTTTTCGTGGCCGTTAATTTTTCGGTGTTCAATAGTGGAGTTTGCCTTCCACTGAACAGAACTTGAAAAGAAATCAAACGTTCAACCGCGAAAAAAAATGATCGCGGTTTTTATAATAGTCTGAACTACGATTCTGTGTGTGTGTGCGCGTGCGTGCTTGCGTACGTGCGCGTTCAGTACAACAGTACTGTTTATAAATTATTCTGAAAAGCTCAAAACACCAGAGCAGGTTTTTTTCTCAATGCTGAAAACTTTTTCTATTTTTTGAAAACACCCCATTACGCCTGAAAGAACTTTGAAATTTTACTAAACTTGAACTTCTTTAAGCTTTAATTTCACTATAAGCTATCGCGCCTGAAAAAAAAGCCTACATCATAGTCCTTCCCAGTCTTCAAGAAAAGTCGGAACAGCAAAGGTAAGTGGTGGTTTTGCAAGAAAAACAGAATGCTTCGAAACCCAGAATCACTTAGAAAAAAACTGGTTATTAATCTGTCAGTTCAATTTTCTCTGTTCCGTTTTGAATTCCTTCAGTTGAAACTTGTTAGCTCCGTTGGTGAAAATTTCTCTGCTTGGTTTTGTTTTCCGTGAGTATAGTTGTCGTTAGTTCAGTTGGTTAAGTTTTCTCTGTTACGTTTCTCTGCCCCAACAAGCTATTAAACTTTTAACTCGATTTTTTTGTTCTATTTCAATGTTCCAATTAGTTATTATTCTGCTAGTTACTTTTCTCTGTTCCGTTTTTATGTTTCAAATAGTTATTAAGGTTGTTAGTTAAAATTTCTCTGTTATATTTCTGCTCAAACTAGTGTAAAATCTTTTTGTTTCGATTTCGCTTTTCCGTTTCACTGTTCCAACTAGTTACACAGAAGCAAAGCTGCGCTTTGCAAACACTAGCGAGAACACGAAAAAAGCAGCTTTATAAAGTGAAATAAGAAAAAAAAAATAGAAATAAGTCACGAATTAGTTAAATTTTGCTACGTATTGGCTTCGAACATGCTATTTCGAGACTTAGAGTCTCACGCCCGATTACACGCTCGGTAACGCTTAACAATCGGTGAACACTAGTCACAAATAAAGCAACTACTTATGCTAATAAAGTGCCAATGCGATGCATCAAAAGAGCATCAAACACAGAAAATCCTAGATCCGCCCCTGATTTACAGCTAAAATTAATAAGAAATTACACAAGAAATAAATTCGCAGCAGTTTGCTCTCAGTTTAGCACTATGTGTAAATTAGTATGAAAAACTGAAAACTTCAGAGCACGTTTTCTCGACGCCGAAAACTTTTTGTAAATTCTTTTCAAAAACCCCGATCACGACTGAAAAGGCTTCAAAATGATACTACACTTGAGTCGCTAAAAGCTTTATTTTTTCAATAAGCTGTCTCGCTTGAACAAAGCCCCTGCCATAGTCCTTCGAAGTGTTCAGGAAGGGTAGGAACAAGAACGCGTAGCAGGAGAACGGTTAAGCAGTACAGAAAGTTTCGACTTCCACAACCTCTAGGAGAACAACTACTTATTAATCTGTAAATTTTCTCTGTTCCGTTTTGAATTTCGTTAGTTACAGTTTCATTGGTTTCGTTAGTTGAAAAATGTACAACAAAACCAAAAAGAGAAATGGAAAAGAGTGAGGGAACGCAAGTTCACCGAAAAAAATACGGATATCTTTTTGACAAAACCGCAAACTTTGAATTTCAAAGAAAAAAGATGGCTCTAAGCTATTTAAATTTCTAGAACAACTGTTGACCAGCACTTTTTTGATAGAGTGAACCCAATTTGAAAAAAAAAGATCAATATGTAAAATTTATATTTCGCTGGGAATTACAATAATTAAAATCCACTTTCGAAACCCAAGTCGATCACATTTTTCGTGGCCGTTAATTTTTCGGTGTTCAATAGTGGAGTTTGCCTTCCACTGAACAGAACTTGAAAAGAAATCAAACGTTCAACCGCGAAAAAAAATGATCGCGGTTTTTATAATAGTCTGAACTACGATTCTGTGTGTGTGTGCGCGTGCGTGCTTGCGTACGTGCGCGTTCAGTACAACAGTACTGTTTATAAATTATTCTGAAAAGCTCAAAACACCATAGCAGGTTTTTTTCTCAATGCTGAAAACTTTTTCTATTTTTTGAAAACACCCCATTACGCCTGAAAGGACTTTGAAATTTGCGGATATATTGAGTTGGAAAATATCTGAAATCGAGTTTTTATTGTTGTTATGTTGTTTGAAACAAATAGCTTTTTTCGATTCAGTTGATGAATTAAAAATGCATCATCTGTGTTATCTTATTACAATTCCAACGTCAAAGGACATGCTATCAAAAAGCCGTAAAGATGCCACAAAAAGTGGCATCAATATTTGCGACTTAGGTAAGGAAAAAAGAATAGTCGTACTGTTGCACTAACGCTCACTAAAGTTCGCTAGTGTAATTAAAATGAAAGTTAAATTTTCTCTGTTCCATTTTCTATGTTGCATTTCTCTTTTCCAAATAGTTATTAATCTGTTAGTAAATTTTCTTCATTCCGTTATTTTTTTTTCTCGACACTAGATAAATTTTTGACAATTCTTAAAAATCAGCTGATCAGGGCTTTAAGAGCGTCAACATTATATATGACTTAAAGTCTCTTAGAGTGAAAAAAAAAACCCGAGTCAAAAAAATTTTAATCAAATTTAAGTACTCACTCGGGTCAAATTATTTTAATTTAACTTATAACTTTTCGCATGTCTTCTTGTAACTAGTGAGAGGAGACTGAAGAGATAAATAAGCTGTTAAACGTAGCAAAAATAAAGCCAAATTCGGAAACAATTGAATATGAAATTTAAAAACATTTAATTATGAAAATTAATCTGAAAAACAGGAAAAATTCGGACTGTTTTTCTCGACACTGAAATGTTTTAAAAACCCTTTGAAATAGTTTCTTCCGTCTTTGTGAAATGGTCATCAGAAAAAAAATTTAAAAGGAAAGAACGGGATTCAAACCGGCTCTCATTATTTTTTCTCACCTGACATCATCGTATTTGGTCCTCCACTCGTCTCTTTCTTCCCTCGTCTTTATCAGATTCGTCTTTGCCTTTTCTAGGTTCTGAAGCAGCTCCGTCTCTCGTTTATCCAGTGCAGCGAACCTCTCAGCAAATGACCCCTCTAACTTAAGTTTACCTGAAGTTGCAAAACGTTTTCAGAAAACGAACTTTGCAAAAGTTGAAAAAATTTAGAATAAATAGTAGTTGAAAAATTTATTTATACGGGTTTTATTTATAAGGGTTATACTTACCTGTCCCTTCGAAAAAAAAACAGAAAAGCCTCAAAAAAAACATTTGAAAAGCACAGCATCATTTTTTCTTAACTAAGTTGAGCACTGTTACTTCAGTGCCGTTAACAATTGACGTGGTTACAGATAAAAAATCTGTTCAAAATACCTGGAATAGCATTCTCGTCTTCGTCGTCTACTTGGTCGGCCATGACTTGTTCAAACCTGTCCAGTTTCTACATACAAAATGCGAAATAAAAACATGTTTCATCAATGAATAATTTCAATTTTAAGGTAAAAAAGGTAAAGAGCGTAGAAAAACCAGCCGAAGTATAAACTAACCGAAAATGCGCTGAGTATATAAGCCATCCAAAAAGCTACATAATATGAACGAATTTCAAAACTTTCGTAACTGTTACATAAGTGTTACATAACTATTTTGTAACACTTACGTATTTTCGGCTGGTTAATACTTCGGCTGGTTTATACTTCCGCTTGTTTATGTACCGCTGTTAAATAAAACTATAAAATTCATGGTGTTCTTGATATAAATTCAAATTAGCTTAAAATTGTACAAATTTTCTGTTGTTTATCAAAATTTGATCAAAACTGATTTTTCGCAGAATTTACACGTCGGATGTTTGCACGGTACCTCGATGTATTATTATTTTTATAATATAAGTATGATATAGCAGTTTACGTAGCAGTATTTAGACAACCGCGTAGTCAGACACTATTAACCAATCATTCATTTCTTCCTTGTCTCTCTCGATTCTGATTGGTTAATACAGTGTCTGAATACGCGGTTGTCTAAATTCAGACCGCTCTCCGATATAGCATACCTGTTGTGTGGTGTGTGCGTGGTGCAACAATTGTTCCCTGCTCATGTCTTCCAGCTCCCCACTCTCGGGTCTGTCCAGACTGTCCTTCAGGGACTCCAACTCCCCCTTCAGTTTCTCATTCTCCACCTCCAGGTCCTTGTTCGCCTCCGACAATCTATCAGGGCGATTTAAAAACAAGGATAGCCGGTGGTTTAATAAAATAGCACAGAATGTTCCGACTACAATGGTTTTTAAAGAATCAAAACTAAATGCATCAAAACTAAGTGCACCAAAAAAAAATAATTTAATAATCTAACTTTTTTTCTGTTTTTCGATTATAAGAAAAATTGGATTCAAAAAAAACCTATAGGAGTTTTAAAAATTAACGTAAAAATGGTAATGGAATTAAATTAACTTAGAAGTGGTAATGGAGTTAAATTCGGATAAAAACCAGATCTCACGAATCTTTCATTTCTGGTTCGTTCGTACTTCGGTTGATTTGTTCACACATTTGAACTTTCCTGACGCTTATTCTTCGGTTGACTACTGTATTACAAACCTGAGGATGTTTGCATTGAGTGTCTTCATTTTGCGACTGGAGGCGAAATCCTCTCTCTCCTGTCGTGAAGTATCTGTTCCTAAAGTCGTCTTCTTGCCTAAAAACACTCCAATTTAAACACTTTAAAGAACCATTAAAACTTGTCAAAACTGAGCATTTTTCCGTCATTTCTGTTTATATTGAAATTTGAACTCAATGTTTAATTTTAATATTTATTTCCCAGTTCTGTCATATAGTAGCTGAATTAACAATCAGTACTGATTCGGTATATAACCCAATGATAATTGCAATGAAAAAACTACCCATTTAAAAAAGGTATAAACACTAATGAAGAAACTATATTGAAATCATTTAGTAGCTTCGGTAGTTTTTTTCACAAATTAGCTCAGTACAGCTCAACATGGAATAACGAAACAATTCGGAATGAATTTCGGCTGAGCGAACAAATTCTGCTAACTGAAGCAAATTCGAATAGAAGGGTGCTTACCAGTGTGTACAGCTGCTCTGAGTCGGACTATCTCCTGGTAGAACGCCTCCATGCAGATCTTCATCTCTTCACTACGTGTAGTCTTCACGTCTTCCTTCAGTTTCCTAAGAAAAACATAATTATATGTATTTATCTGGTATATCAGCCCAAAAGCGATTCCAATGAACCAAAAACATATCAGAGCGAAATCGTGACAGTTCGGAGTCTCGTTTACATGAGCCAAGAACATTTTGGAACTAAAAAAAATGAATGTTCTCAAATTCCAATTAGGACATGTTGACGTCTTTTCCAACGATTTGGAAAGGATCTTTAACGATCCCCCCCCCCCCTCTATTGCAATAGGGGGAAAATTGTTAACAAGATCCTTTGGAAACAGTTGGTGCTTTTTCAAACTCCGAACTTCCAAAAACATTTAAGGGATCAAGTTAACATCCTCCCTCCTAAACGTGTTTAGGGGGGAGGATGTTAACTTGGTCCCATTTAAGAACTGAGTCTCAATTACATTATCACAACTATTGTATAAATTAAAACTTAAGAACCAAAATGCTTCATAAGAAACAAAAGGCAATGAAAGAACTGATCTCAAACAATTCGTTCTCCATTGAAATATTTAAATTCTGCAAATAAAAAACAACCCGTGTTTAAAAACATTTAGATCAAAATCGTAGAAAATTATTGAAATGAAGTAAAAGAACAAACTCAAAACAGACGACGATTAGACTTTTGTAAATGTTCAATTCGTATTGAAATGATTATCCATGAGGTAGAAAAAGCCAAACAAAATGATAATGATTGAAAATCATTGGATAGGACGTCGAACTTTTCTACCGGAAAAGAATACAAGAATAAGAGGCGCCTCCACAACCCAAGAAACTGACATAAAACTAACCATTGATGATACTATTTATAAATTATAAAAACCCGTCTTAAGTATTTACAATTTCCCCACACACCTTAGTTCGTTCTCTTTTTCTTTGAGAGTGAGTTCCAATTTGATGTTTTTGTTCTTGAGACTGTTCACCACTGAGGAGTTGTCCCCGCCCCCTCTCTCAGCCAGAGCCCTCCTCGCATCATCCGAACTGCCTCCAGGGTTCAACAACTTCTCGATCTGCTTGTCCTAAATGCAAGTTGCGAAATTGCAATAAAGCATAGTCAGATGAATACGTCGACTCATTGACTTAAATTGATTAACATATAGGATAGGTCGGCCGTCGTGAACTATAACCAAAAGGAAGGGCGAGCCATTAGATCTATAGAATCAAGTCCTCCCTATGAGCAGGTTTCGCTGGCTACTTTATTTCTGGAAAAGTTAACTTCTGCTTCTGATTCAAATCTTTTCAAATAAAAATTCCAAGGTACTTGTTTAGTCTCCGTAAATTTAAGACTTTCATTTGCAAAATCAAAAAAATATATATTTTTTCAGAAGCTAACAAATATGTCTGCTATAGAACTTTCAAAAAGAATTTTGACTCCGAATCATAGTTGTTTAGTCTAATGAGAAGTCGTCGGTTGTATCGGTATCCTAAGAGGGAGTTCAGTTTTTACTTTTTTTTAACTCTTATTATTTTTAAATTTTTCTAAATTGGGATGTCATACTTCAGTGGACATAGACAGACAAATTATCTCACTATTTACCCATTTCAAGTCGCCTTGTGCATATTAAAACATATTTTCTGTCCTTGTATATGCGTACTGACTTGAATGAACATATTGTTGTTTCAGTGTTGCTGAAGTTGCGTCATCGAAGTGTTATTCCTTCATATTGTCGTCTAATCGGCTAGACCTTATTGTCTTGCAATGATCACGTTGGTCTTTCAAAATTTTACAGCACTGTTGTAGTACTTCCGTGAACAGAAAATCGATTTCTCGGGTGTTCGGTTATTTTTAGTATTGATCGAAAACCCCTTGATCAAAAAAAGGGATGCGGAAGACCTCGAAAAATGGCTGGTAATTTGTTGGAAAAAAACTGCTTCAATAGCTTCAAGAAATCCGTATACTTCTGCCCAGAAAATTTCGCTAAGACTTAACACCGAAAATGGCATAAACGTTCACAAAAATACGCTTCAGCGTACATTAAAAAAAGTAACATTTTGAAGAAAATCCCTAGAAAAACCCTGGGAAACCACTATCCATGAGGAAAAACGAATCATTTTTGCAAAAAATCGGAAAAGTTATGGCGTCGAGGATCTGTGGATAACCGATGAAAGCATATTCCAGATGCACAGAATCAAACTGATAGTCTGGTATTCAAATAATGCACACACACACGTCAAATTTTACTAAAAACTGGATGGAGGACAATCATGTCCAAACTTTGCAATGGCCGCCAAAATCAGCTGACCTATCACCCATTGATAATATTTGCAACAATCTCAAAAATGTTGTGGAAAAGTAATCAACAACAAGTATCGAAGAGTCGAGGAGATATACAATCGAATGCCAAGATGAAGTGACTGCGCAAATGAGGCTAAATCTAATGAAGCCAATTCCAAGCAGACTTTTAAATGTTATTCGTTGCTATGGAAAGCAAATCCCTGCCTAGTCATACTGGGTTGCAACCATTTTTTGCCTATTCTGTGTTATATTATATGTTTCTTAATGATTTGCCATTTATGAGAAAATTCAAGTTATTCCAGTCTCATTTTTTTGCATCGAACTATATTTCCAGGGGATGTTTATTATTTGGACGATCTCCTCTAAAACTAACTCTGCGGTACCCGCCATGAGGATTCTTGGCTGAAGGCGCTTCATTTACCAGTAACTAAGACGTCCAGTGATTCTGGTTTCGTCGCTAATTTAGTTTAAGGGGTATAGTAAAACTATGGTGACGGTGTCTCTCTTTCGACAATTATGTACGATCATCTCAAAGAAGGACGGATTTAGATTGTTTAGCCAGAGCTCTAAATCTGCCGCGATGACTCGACACTGGCCTTTAGATTAGAAAGGAACTCGACTGGCGTGCTTGAAGATTAGTCCAGTCTAGAGAGTAAAGAAACCTAGTCTGTAGAGGATAAAAATAAAAAGAAGTCTAGCAGGATTTCAGAGACAGAAGGGAACTAAATAGTGCAGGAGGTTAAGCACTCGGGGCATCCATTGACAATCTTGGACGAAATCTGCTGAGTTGGGCGTTGACTATGGGGCAGTAGACAGCATATATAGGCAGAGCAAGGAGAGCTAGGAAAAGGTAAGTTCACTAGGAGAAAATAGAGCGGGGTTTGAGTTTAGGAAGGGGGCAGTTTCAAAGTACTTAGATGCAGCTCGTATGTGAATTATTTAAAGAACTGGCGTTTTGGTCCCTTTGCTGGTGTACTCAAAAAGGGTACACCACTTCATTGTTATTTTCAACGAATATTTTATTTGTCTGACAGTGTTTGTTTTTCGGACTTCTTTCTTCCCTGGTGTTTAGTAAAATGGTAAGTGACAGTCTTGCAAGGAATGTTATCATGTCTCTCCCTATTGAAAAAATCTTTTTATTCAGATAAGAAAGGTCGATTTGATTCATTTTGTTGCTTTCAGTTACAGCGAGGAGGGCGGCAAATTGCATCGTTAATGTTTTTTAGGAAGCGTTAAAACCAGACTCGGCAGGCGTATTCCATGACAGATCCCATCGTCGCTTGCTGCGTAGTTGAGAGCGTTTTGTCATAAATTTGTCCTAGTTGACTTCGGCAAAAGCGTTTAGTACAGAGCTGCGCTGCTTTTCTTTAGTTGCTCATTTCTGCAGTTCAGGACGAACTTCTATAAAGGTTTCAAGCTAAGCCGCATGATTTTTAGATTGTGATTCAAAAATAAAATTCTTCTCAGTACTTCAACTTGCAGATGGGTTTTGTGAGCCTTTGGTTCTGGGGAGAAGAGAGTCACTGAACATTTTGAGGGAAAGAGTAAGTTTGAGTTAATGAAGGAAGGCATCGACATAAAGTAAGCGCCGCATGTGTAGGCACTGAATTCATCGGCATTTGAGATACTGGAGATACTATTGCGTGGCGCAAGTGCAAAAGTTGCACAGATGTTGAATAAAATGGGATAAATGACTGAGCTTTGTGTGACTCTACTGGGATCTATTCTTGCTTCAGATAGAAATTTTCCTAATAAAGTTCTGGCTTGTCTAACTATCAGTCAGTTGCTTAACTAGCTACAAACAGAATCTGGCAGCAAGAAGTTGGTCAACTATTCTATTAAAGTGCGGTGGTTTACACACTTCAAGGTTATAACAAAGGCTTTTTCCCGTTCAAATGAGACTTTTTAAGGCTACAAGATGAACTAATACATTGATTGGCACCTTCTCCGCCTTCGAAACCATTTTAATAAAAAAGGGATTTTTTTTTTAGAATCTGGATAACTCGATTTCTAAGTTACACTTTTTTGACAAATCCATACGTCACAATGGTTTTAAACAATTTTGCTCATCGTACATCCCGTATAAGCTTTTGCATATACACTTATACCTATATATGGTATATTTATACCATATATATGTAAAGATTATACATATAAATTCGCTTTTAAGAAAATTTGACAACAAAAAATTATAGATATTGTAAAACTTGCTAAAGCTAAGAGGTAAAGGCAATTAACGCCTGGTTACAAGGTCCGAGTTCAAATATTCTGATGATGATGATGATGCTGTAAAATTTTCCTACAAATTTGCGTACCTTGCGTGAATTGTCTTCTTCCAGTCGTCGCATTCTGCCCTTGTTCACGCTTGAGACACTCTCTATCTCGGCCAGTCGTCTCTTCAACTCCACGATCTCATCCGCCATGTCTCCGGGGTCTTTGCTGCTAGGCGCAAAAGAAGCCTTGGTCGGTTTGGTGGGCCCTGGAACATAGACATGAATTCTAGAGGCCTGGAATCTCTAAGAGATCATTTTTGAAAATACATATTGACTCATGATAACCATAAATTACATTTTGAAAATCAAAATTCAAATATGGTGAAAGCGGAAAAGAGCCCAACTTTATGTGGTAGTTTAACGAGATGGATGGAAATAGGAATTATCCAGGATTTAGCTGTCTCTAAGAAATCATAAAACCGCCCGCCAGATAGCCTGAGCTCGGCAAGAAAAACCAAACTCCAGTAATGGATTTTTCCACAACTGGGACGAATGCTGCCTTGTGATATCTAGAGAATCACATAAGAAATAATAATAACACAAGGATAGCCGGTTACTGGCAAGTAGTACAGAATGATCCGACCATAGTCTTAAAAAAATACAACAGAGTTTTTTCAAACTATTGTCGTTTTTTTTCGGCGGGATGAGATAACAGGAGCTGAACACAAAACTGTGTGTTAGGTACATTAGATAGCCATACTAAAATAAGCGAATGGGAAAACAATTTTTGTAGAATAAAACGAAAAAAATATATAAAAAATTTTCGAATTTTTTATAAAGTGTTTTGCAGTTTTTTGAATTTTTGAAAATTTTGATTCCAAAAAGCCGCTTACATACACTAAGTAAACTAATGTTACGCAAGTAAAACTTAATTTTTACGTTTTAAGTTAAGCTATTGTGAGCTTTTAAGCAACCAGAATAAGACTCAATCGCTATATTTGCTCGAAATAAGACGTAAAATAAAAAATTTCTTACCGGTTTTTCTCGGCACTGGGAAAACTTTTTTGAAATTTTTTAATGTTGCTCCAATCACGAATGCAAGGGCTTTAATATGATATATCAATCCAAAAAACTAAGAGAGCCGAATACAAAGGTCGGAACAAACATCAGAAGTTTTACCAATAAGTTGGTGATTTGAAACTCATTGTTTCGACCATTGAAAACGGTGTGTTAGTTTTTTTCTTTTTTTGTTTTCCACGCAAAATCAGGTACCACAAATAATCATCGGACTAGGTCGAGTGATAATTGAAGTCCATAAAGCCATATTGAATCATATTGAAGCCCATTAAGTTGTAATGCGAACCATATTAAAAAACTTTCAATATGTCAAGAAAACCCGGTTTGAAGTATTTGATTTTTCGTCTTATTTTAAGCGAACAAAGCGAGCAGGCAGTCTTATTTTAATTGCTTAAAAGCTTGTAATAGCTTAGTTTAAAACGTAAAAACTTTAGTTTTACTTGAGTAGCGTTAGTTTACTATGAGTATTTTAGCGCTTTTTTAGAATCAAAAATTTCAAAAACTCAAAAAACTGCAAAAATTGACAAAACTTTCGAATTTTTTTCGTTTTTCAAGTAATTGTTCTATAAAAATAGTTTTTCAACTTGCTTATTTTACTATGACTATCGAATAGTCTCAATCTCCAGTTTTTTGTTTCAACTCCTTTCATCACACCACGCCGAAAAAAAACGACAATAAATTGAAAAAAACTTTGCCGTATTTTTTAAGACTATGGTCCGAACATTCTGTGCTTCTTGCACAGTAACCGGCTATCATTGTTATGATTTGTTTTCTCTGCTAAAAAATTATATATAAAATTGTTATTGAGCTACAATCCGGACACACCGTTGTTAGAGACAAAAAAAAAGAAATTTAGCCAATTAGAAATAAATTTTTAACAAGCGAAATTGATCTGGATTTCGAACACAATTTAAAACCTATAAGGCCGCACGTTTTTTATTAGTGCACCCCTGCTCAACGGTCTTTTCCTGGCTGTGTAATCCTTATATACCTATGTGACTTTCGAGCAGCTTCTTCTGCAGGAATTTCGATGTGCTCAAAAAGGCGGCGTCTTCAGCATCAGTGTTCATCGTGACCTTGACAGACCTGGCTGACACTGCACTCTTGTTGGACCGGGAAGTGCTAGCTCCAGTACCTGTAGTCCCAGTAATGGCTGAAACATACATAACTATAACACTATTTGCATAAGTAGCCGAATAGACGTGTTTTCTTGTTTCTCGAGGGTTTTTCCTTTTAATAATGAAAAATTTGTTTAAAAAAAACAGGTTTGTTGATTTCTGTTATTTGTGGAGTGCAGATTTAATTCTTCTTTCAAATTGTCAAATTGTTGGGGAATTGGCATGCAACTTTTCTTACTAATTAACTTATATGACTCGACTCATAATTGGTCTTCATAGACAAACTGTTAACCTCAATGGTCATGATAAAATTTAGCTTGCGTACAATAGAGGGAAATACCGGTTTATCAGGGCTGTTTTCTCAATACTGTGACGGTTTTTTGGAACTTTTTTCAATATCGGTCGAATCACGATTTAAAGGGTGTTCAAAGGGTACGTAACTAGCCCCATCTTCTAGATTTTGCGAGTAAAAAGGACGAAAACATTTGAATTAAAAGTGGCAAGAAAATTGGAAACAAAAAACAAATTTTCAAATTCTCTAAAAGGTGGCTTCGAAAAACAAAATTGAGGATATATACACCCTCCCCTGTACACAGCATATGAATAGCTACAAATTGTATTCAAATGTAAACAAGAATATCGGGTTGCTTTGCAATTAGCACAGAATGTTCCGAAGACGCCGATTGTAGAAAAAAATCAAAGTAAAGAAAACATTTCGAAAAATTTACAAAAACAAATTTTCATTTTTTTGTCCGACGGTTGTTTTTTTTTCTAGAAAATTCCATCGTATTAAGTAAAAAAAAATGTACAACTGAGTGGTGATTAGTAGTTATTATAACGTTAAAATTGTACCAAAATTATACTTGAAGGTCAACCTCTAACCAATCTCCCGGTTGCCTTTATCTAATTTAATCTCAAATCGAAACAAGGATAGCCGGTTAATGTGCAAGGAGCACAGAATGTTCCGATCACAGTCTTAAAAAATATAAAAAACTTCAAATTGGTGAATTGGTGTCGTTTTTTTTCTGCATATTGTGATAAAAAGATCTGAACAAAAAATAGAACTTAGGCGTATTTGAGAGTCATAGTAAAAAACATCAATTAGAAAACAGTTTTTGAAGAAAAATGACTAGGGAAACGAAAATTTTTTTTTTAATTTAAAAAACATTTTGATTTTTCAAGTTTTTTTGATTCCCGAAATTGCCCTAAAAAATTTGGAGTTGTTGCGATATATGTTCACATAGTGTTCAGAGCAAATAAGAACAATACATCCAAACTTCGAAATCAGATGAACGAACATGCAGAAAAACTTGCACATTTTCAAACCTATGTTTTTCGCAAACTTATTATAATTATCGTAGAGTAGTTATATAAAGCCCTGGTAATAAATCATTTATTTTGCGCTTTTGTCATGAAAAACAAGATCAGTAAATTCAGATATAAGAGCAAAAATTTAAATCAGATTAATTAGCAACTGAACACACCATGCAATAATTGTACACTTCATTTAACGCATGTGTTTTATAATTCAAGATTAACAAGTAAAGACTCAAAAGTTTTTGATAGTAGTTGAAAGTTTGGTCAAATTAGTTAGTTGAAGATAATTAAGTGGCAATAAAACTTACCGCGGCCAGACATTGTACCTGAAAACAAACAAGTGGGCTGTAGTTGCCTCAGAAGCGAATAATGATGAGAGAAAATTGATTTTGATGACAGTTATCTAATAATTTAAATAAAACGAGGAACATAGCAGTTACTAAATGTTACTTTTACAAACAACTGAAGATGTCATTTTCGGGGAAACTTAACAGCAAAGTATTTAATTCATTTTTTTTCGGGCATTGTTTTTGTTCTCATTTAAATGATGATTTTTAGTTCAGTCAAACAAAAAACAAAAATGCTTACAAACAAGTAGTCACTTTAGATTCCTTTCTTGAATTTTTGATAATTTCATATTGTTCACATGCTTAGAAAGGATCACAGAAGTCGACGTGAACGTATGTCCTGAAGTTTTCCCGAGCACAATGATTTTTCGAAAGAAACTTCACGATTATCAATTTGAGCGTTCTAAGTTTTACTTCGCAGCTCAGTTTGCAAAATTTAAATGACAGACTCTAATTCTGCGATTAAAACTTACGTCCGTTGCCACTTCGTAAATCCTGCAGCCATTGAGCACGTCGCTTGTCCGGGTCAAGATTCTTGGGAAGTGATGTTTTGGCCTTATAGGGAGAGCCTAAAATCATCCAAAATTCACCCTATCGCCGAATACTTCAATATCTTAAATAGATCACGTAGCTCAGGATTTTCTGGTTACAGTAGCACTGCGAACAAAAAAAAATAAAGTTTTAGTAAACTTTTAGCCATCTTTTCAGACGCAGCAACAAAAAAGATTTTACAGCTTCAAAACAATTAAAATTGACATTGACTAGGTTATATAGGTTATCTCATACTCCCAAACCCTTCCTTTAATAAGATCCTAATGATAAATATCATCCGTGCGAAAAAACTTATACCTGAATCTTTAAACGAGTTTTTGTTTCGAACACTGAAAGTGGCGAGGAACTTTGTATTCTAATGTTTTGGTTTTCCTTTTTTGTTTTCAGCGGCAAATCAGGTACCACAAATAATCGTCATAAGGGGTCTAGGGATAGATTATACTAATGCCCTTGCAGTCGTGATTCGAACCCTATTTAAAACTTCCAAAAAAATTTCTGTGTCGAAAAAAACCGGTTTGAAATTTTTGATTCAAATTGAGCAAATAAAGCGAGCAGGCTTATAATAGGTTAAAATAGGTATCTAATAGCAAGCTGATCAATCAAGTTTAGTCTTGAAAAATTAGTTTTACTCCAGTAAAATAAATTTACGGATTTTCTTTCAGCACCTTCGGAAAAAAATTGAAAAACGAAATCAAAAAAATGTTGTTAAATGAATCTAAGTTACTGTCTCTGTCAAACTTTTAGGATTAGATTCAGATCTTGCTATTGGTTGTGCGAACGTTGGGATCCAAATCTAACTCTAAATAAATCTTACTTATTATTGACTACTTCTTTTAGATCAAAAATAAAATAAGAACTACCGGGTAAAACTTTATACAATCTGTTACAATCATATCAAAATGCGCATCCTTTTAACTCAACAAGATTTGTTGTGTATAAACTGAAAACTTAATTTTCTATTAAATTATATTAAGTGTCTGTGGTTCACAAAATGCGATGTTTTGTTACAGCATAATAGGTAACATTTTGGTTTGAAACGTTTCTTAATTAATTTTGTCATAAAACTGCTGGATTAAGTTGAAACAAACATATTTAATTTCAATTTTGAAAAAAAAAAACTAGTTAACTTCCAATCAAAATAAAACAAAACACAATCTCATTTGGGAATATAAGAAAACATAGTGAAACTATAGTCTTTATTTTATATAAAACCAATACAGTCACATTTTTTGTTTTAAAAAAAGCGGGAAATTTTTTTTTGTAAGTAATAATTGTGCAAACTTTTTCTCGCGGTCATTCTAAAAAACAGAAGTTGAAAAAGAATTATTGCACAAAACGCACCAATTAGTGCAGTTCTAGGTTTACGAAACGTTATACAGGCAAGTAATGGATTTTAAGACAAACGGGTGAAGCAGATCTTCTTATATATTAGAGACACTAAATCCAAACGCACTAAGGTGAAACAGGGTGTCCCACAAGGTGGTATGCTATCCCCGGTCCTACTTAATCGCTATATGCCTCTACCAGAAACTGATAACATCGAAATTACTTACGCAGACGAAATAGCCCTCACAAAACCAGGGCCCAATATTAACAACTTGGCAGATAACATGAATCTATACTTTAACAGCTTCAGCACATGGCCAACAGGCAGAAACCTATCACCGTCCGGAGATAAATCTACAACATCAATATTCTCAATTGGACCAATGAATTCAATTTAAAACCAAATGTTATCGTTGACGGAATTAGTCTACCTACCACTCGCAACCCCAAAATTATAAGAGTAACATTTGACAAATGAATTCTGAGGTACGCTGCACTAAGACCTGTGACTACAAAAAGGAATAATGTATTTACAAACCCTATTGCCACTTCTTGGAATTGCTCCAAAGAAACACTCAGTGTCACCTACAAGGCAATTGGAAGGAATGTCCTGAACTACGCAGCTCCAATTTGGACCCCCACACTTAGCTAAACCAATTGGCAACGTTTACAAATAAAGCAAAACAACGCTCTACGATCAACAACAGGATGCTTAAGAACGAGTGACAACACATTTACATGATGAGACTAAAATTCGTTCGGTTAAAAACACCACAAAAAAAGCCTTCTAACCAGTTTTTTCTCGGGTGCTACCAGGAGTTCAGAACTGGCCACCACACTATCAACAACAAAAACTGTAATTTTACCATCAGACCCATCCTCAAATATAACGTCAAACCTGACATGGAACATCTGCGTAACAGAAAACCAGGAGAGCATCTCTAAGCTTGAATACGTTAACGGGATTAGAAACCTTCACACCACAATAATACAACTTTTTCATAACGAAAAGTCCAAGCTAATTGGTAGAATACTCCCAATTTTATCATCAAATGACGGCAAACTTGACCGGAAAACTCAGTGTACACTTTCACAACTGCGACCCGGATATTCAACTTACCTCGCCAGCTACCACCAAAGGCTAAACAACATTATACCCGACGTTTGCCCAAGTTGCTAAATAGGGCCACACACTACCGACCATCTGTTTAACTGCCGGGAACAATCAACCTCACTTACCATCGAGAGCCTATGGGAGAATCCTGAAGAAGCTGCCAAACATCTGCAGCTTATCACACAACTCCACGTAACGGGAGTTTTTCTCGGTTCTCACCAATACAACGACTGCCCGCTTGAACTGGGCATGGAGTTACACTCGGTCGAAAAACTTGGCCCGTAGAACGGGTTTCATAACACATCAAAACCTCCCTCTTGAGTGTGCTATACAGAGGAAAGGTGCCGACACCAGCACAAAGACGCTATCACGGGAAAAGTTGGTTTCCCTTCCACTCCCGTTTTGCAGATAGAGACCCTGGGGGAATTGCAGTGATAGACCGAACGAGACAAAATCAACATGGCCAGACAGGAACAATATTTTCCTAACTCTTTCTCCCTCGATCTCTCACACATAAACGATCTCTCTATTTCAATCAGAAACTCAAAGCAGATATCGATGTAGCTACAACAACGTGGCAGGCCAGCAGACAGAAAATAAGTTGAAAAACTGACAACAATGTCTAGGACGTTTGTCTCAAATGAAGTTCAATTTGCTAACATAACTTGAAGCATAATTGCCAGTCGTTAACAAGCAATCAGGCAAAATTCACCCAGCGGTAACTACGCAAACAACACTTGGGCAGACGATCATAAATGTGAAAAAAATTTTGTGGCAAAAAGTGTCACAAAGCTCTTATACTTGAAATTTTTACGTCGCCTCACACCCACACGCATGAAAACATATTAGCACCCTTTAGATGACCAAATATGAGGCAAGTATGCCGATATAAAAAAAATAAGGAAACGGCAAAAGCCGAATAAAATTCTTATGCGGGCAAACCGAGAAAAATTTGAAAGGAAATTAAACAAAATCAGAGCTAGTAATTTCAATATTTTTTTGGATACACTTAAATGAAATTTAAATTTAGATAAATTTTCGAATTTGAGAAAAAAATCAGACTCGTGCACGAAGTAACATCCTTCAATTTCAAGAGAACGCTGAAATAGAAAACAATGGTATAAATTGGATTGGCCAGAAATTGATTATATCAGTATGTTAATGTACCGTGCACGTTCACTGTTAGCAATAATTTAGTGGTTTGTTTAATTACGTTTAACTCATGAGAAAAATATCTTTCCGAGTTAATAATTCTTGCTAAACGCAAACTAACGGGAGACTCTGCCCAAGTTGAAAAAGATTCGATCTGTTCTATTTCACAATGTTGCATCTCTTTTATAGATGTCACAGATATTTCCTTGTTGTTTTTGTTGTTTATTTTATTTAATTTTAGTTTTCAGTGACTGATGATGCATACAATTTATGCGAAAAGTTTCACAATTCATTCTTGAACATTGATCTTGGTTTTCAACACGCAAACTCATAGAAAGTGGAACCATTAAAAACATAAATTCTTTGAAAAAAATCATAAATTAAGGAAATCTTTTCTAATTGAAAAAACTTCTGATTTACTACAGAGACACTGAAGATTCGATAGTAAATTTAAAAAATGCATTAGAAATAATGGGGTAGTCCTAAACATTTAATGCACCAAAGAATAAAACCGTTGAATCAACAATTTCTCTATACACTGTATCGGGCAAATGAGGAGAGCTATTTTCGATGGAATCAAAAAATTGAATTCAATTAGTTTTTGATAAAATAGGTGTTAATAAATGATTAATTGTGATAATTGCTCTGGAAATTGTAATTTTTCCTTGGAAATTGGAACTTCAGGAAGTCACAACAAAACACAAATTGATTACTCGAAAAATACACAAATAATCGAATGATGCAAACTCAACTTCATCTAATCGCTTTGATCAATTTCGCAAATTTGTTCCTAAGTCAAACTAATTATGAGCATCTATAATGAAATTGTAAATGCATGAAAATAATTTGAGCATTAAAAAAACCATGAGGAGTAGAAAAGAGGGATTTTGCGGGAGGGAAAAGCTTTAAAAATTAATCTCATCATACCAAACGTTATGTTTTGTAATTTTGGAATGTACTAACTAATTTTCTTTCGTTTCTGGCGAGATTTCGTGCTCACGCTGCTTTCAGTGCCATCCAGAAGCGTGGACTAGAAGAAAATCAAAAATAGTATTGGCAAAAATTTTCATCAGAAATGCATCTCAATGGAGCACTCGAAATAGCAAAAAGTGCTTACATCTGAATCAAGCACCATTTCAAAACTTCATTTTATTCCATTTTATATCTGAAATTGAAAGTGATAGCCAAATTATTTCTTCGTGAACTTGAAAAAAAGTGTCGGCAAAAGCGTTCACGAAGCACTCGATTCATTAATTTGTTTCACAGAAAAAAAATCAAAAATAGAAGCTACGGGCACGCTTATTTGAAATTTAACGCAAAATTACAACGGCTTCCTAAACTTAAATAACGGCTTCCTAAATCTCTCATACTTACATACAAGAATGACAACTTCCAAAACTGTACATTGAATGGATGCGAAATCTTAAGTCAATCGTTTTTATTTTTGTTCGAAAGCATTAGAAAACAATGACAAACTTCATCCTAATAGCTTCACAACATTCTTTTTCAGAGGTCTTTTGCTACGACGAGCACGAGGCATGCTGGTAAGCAGCTCTTGTGGGATGTAACGGTGGTAGGCTCCCTAGCCCCCAGCTGGATTAGTGCGGGGTCGGTTTGTAGCCCTGGTACGGCTGCCGCTGAAGCAGAAGAGCGAAAAAATGATAAAAATGAAGACAGTAGATGATGGATATCTTTTTCAACCGCTAACTTTTCAGCTTCAGGGCGCCGCTGGCCCCAGTACAAATATTTTTGAACAAGCTTAGTAAGAACCTTAGCATAAGTACTGAGGAACCTAGGACAGGCAGCTTTTAAAACAAAGAATCTCCCTGGCAATACTGATTGCGAACGCCGCTTGCGTACTCGGTACAAAAAAAATGACAAAAACAACTTTCGAAGAAATTTTTTATTTGTAATGCAATATATATATTTTTTTTCTGGTGTCGAGTTCCGTGTTCTTATTAAAAGAACGTAACCCGTATCGCGTTTAATTTTAAACACATCAATCCAAATCATCTCCTTTTTATCAGTTTCACTTCCATATGTAAAAAATTCCAAGGGTTTGGACTGGAATATGTGATGAAGGGACTCCTAACTGTAACCTCGGTTGCTATGATTTTTTAGTTTCTGATTTTTAGTTTCTGGGCAAATTTAGGAAATAGAAAAACATCTATTTCGAAAAATTGCTTTTTGTCTCGATTCTGATTGTTCAATATGGTATTTGTCTACTTACAGCAGACGACGAGCATGAATATGCAGTTGTCTAGAAAACGAAGGAGAATCAACAATTGAGTTTAACATCTTGAACACTGGAAAAAACAGAGTAAACCTGAATCAAACGTCAATAGATGCGATCAGATACATTGGTGTGAAGCAGCTTCCCGATTTACCAAATTTGGAGGAAACAAATAAAGGCAACTTGACTGGTACGGGACGACCAGGTGAAAAGAAGTTGAGCGTTAACAGATTCAAAATTAACTCTTCAAATTTAAGCGGCGGTCAAACTCTTTCAGACACACATTTGTGTAGCGCCTTGGTCCTGGATTCCCATCAAAATGTCTTAATAGTTAGTTGTCTTCATTTCTGCAAGACACCGTTGAAAAGAGAATGGAATCATTTCAAACAAGTTTCATGATGATAAGGAATATGAACTTTTTTAAACATGCACAATTAAAACAAATGTTTTGTTGATTCTAAATTTTTTAGAATAAATAAAACGCACAATCAGCATGTTTTTGCACGTGCAATATAGTTGATGTTTTTGCCTTCTGATTTCTACATTTTGAAAGAGAAAAATCTAAATTTTTTTTCAAGTATACCTACGGGTGAAGGCTTTTTTGCCCCCCATTGAGTAAAACCAAGTCATGAGTCAACAACAACTGACGGAATCTCAGCTACCAATTACTCACGAAGTGCTGATTGAAACGGAGACAAATTTCAGAAATGCGCTAACAGCAAACAAATCGACGACACAAACAAAACAAATCCAAATAATCAAAATCATCCCCCCATTCTCGAGAGAAATTGTAAGGTCAGCTGAAAATCTGGCGCAGGCATATCGAAGTTGTGCTTCCGATATACTTAAACAATTCCCCACAACAATGCAACAGAAGATGACAATCTCAAAAACAATAACCGTGACGAAAGATGACCGCAAACTTCATACACTGACAGTTATTGCTCCCCCCGAAGCAGAGCAATTCATTACTAGCATCAAAAGCGAAGGAATCATTCTACTTAACAGGACGGTATTTCCCATGGGATGCTTTCCAAGGTCTCATAGACCCAAGAGCATTTACCCTAAACTAGCAAAAATCAAATTGTCGAACTTGCCTTATGTATGCAACGATATCGAAGCGAAATTAATTCTCCAATTGCCAGAAGACATAATTCATAGCCCCATATTCCAACGTGAGACCTGTATCGTTACTGAACCGGGTCAGTATGTTTACACAGGAAGAGCAATTTTAGAAGTTAAAATACAAAACGAAGAACAAGAGAAAAAGCTGAAGGACTGGTCTTATAAATCGAGAATGGATGGCTTCAAAATGTGGGAAGGTGTAGAAAACTCGTTTCACATACCTTCACTACATGAATGTCAAAAATGCAAGATGTCTGGACGCCAAGAAAAAGGTCATCACGATGATTGGTGTAACATAGGGAACCAAATAACCAAAAATCCAAATAATCACTACCCACAAAAACCAAGCTCCAATAATGCCAGCGACGAGAAAAACGATAACGAAACAACAAGCGATAAGTTTTGTAATGGTACCGAAAATGAAGAAGATAAGAATGTTGAAGCACCACCATCTGGAGTTTTGATTGATGAATCTAAAACAAACAGTGCAGCTACTCCAAGCGAAGAAAAACAAAAGGATGAGGTTCTCAACAATCAGGTCGTAGATTTTCATTCTTACTCTGCAAAAGAAAAAAAACGACAAATTAAATATCGAAAATTGTGACATTCGACCAGAAGGGACAAAGTGCAATCTCTGCAGACTTCGAAATTTTAGCAGTGAACCTTCCGAGTTAATGATTTTGAAGGATTAACGACGTTATTCGGATGATTAGCAGAACGGTGAAGGTCAGGATATTCCCGTATTTTAAAATTTTAAATTTTCGAAGTGATGACGTAACATTTCTGAGAAACGTCAGAAACGGCCATTTTAGCAAAAAGAACTAAGAAAAACAACAACAACCTTATCTGCGATTGCGAACAAGACGAAAATCGAGATTAAAAAACGACAACATAGCAGAGAACGTTCCGAGTTGCAACTATTGTGCTGCTACAATAGTTGCAAGGCCGTTGCGAACAACGGTGAAGGGTAAGAGACAGCCTTCCGGATTAGGAGGAAATCAAGATTAACGAGCTTGATTCAGCGGATTCGTCAATCCGGAAGGGTAAAGGAACTAGAACTTTTATCCTGTTGCATAAACTTTTAGCTTCCTGTCATGTCCTGACTTGAATTTAATTAATATCTAGATTCATTTTGATAAGGATGAGAAGCTAGGAGTTGGGGGAAAGTGTTGATCCATCTTCGATGGAGATGATGATTTTTATCTACTGAACAAAAACAATAATAATATAAGTAGTAACCCTGTTTTTAGGAGTGACCTCGTGGTCTGGGGATACTGAGACCCAGCCATGAGCTCACTATTTGCATGTAATTAAGTTAATTTGAGCGTTCTGGTCGAAGCCGGAGAACAGTAACGTTTTTGTCGAGCCGATGTTGGAAAGACCACCGAAAAGTACTGGCTTGGTAGAGACGGTGAAAAGCATGCAAAGCTCTGTTTAGACGCTAGCCAGTCGTCTTAAGACTTAGTTTTGTTATCCGTCGATATGTATCTTCCGGGCGAATGTTACATACATGTTTTTATGGCGCTCCTGGGTGTTATTCTTTTTTAACATCATGACCGGCAGAACCGTTAACGAGCACTCCGCGCCGAGCGGATGCTCACATTAACGCCCTTAATAGGCCTAAACCGCCGGAGCGGAAGGGTAGTTCGGAACGCGGAAGCCTTCCGGATTACCGGGAATAGTTTTTTAACCTAGTTAAGACCGAAAATTCACGAACCAGGAAGGGTGGGGGAAATCGCGAACCCCTCATCCCCTGAGTGGTTTGTGACCAAAAACACTTAAAGATATAAGTAAAACCAAACAAAAAGTAGTATAGTACCCAAGAAAAACAAAAAACATAAAAAATAACCGAAAAAACCAAAAACAGTAAAAAAAAAAGTAAAAAATCAGTAGAAATCATCCCCCCAGACAAGATGTGATCCAACCCCCCCGTTTGTTGTTGATAGATATATTGTTGTTACAGGCATTTATATCAGTCAGGATCGTTACGATCAGTTTTGTAGCCCGTTTGTGAGGCTTGTACTGTAGGGTTATTTGAGCATTTAAGCACGTTAATGATAAATTGCGCTCAATCCGGAAGGGTCAGCTGATTTGCGCTCAATTCGGAAGGGTCTTGGGTGAAGACCGATCCGGCAAGCAGTACAAGGAGCAACAAGAAGGGGCTCAACGACAACAACAATCGACTGTTGGGTATCGTTAACAAGTTTTGTAGCCCTTTTGGTACAAAAAGTAAAATAGTAACCTGTGGGGGGCTCGACAGTGCTGCACTGTAGTGACCCTTCACCGAACTGCGAATATCCGAGTTAAGCACCTTAATTCGGATATTGAGGAAACCCGGAGGGGTATAGTATTACTAATATTATTATTTATATAGCCTATATTAATAGTCTTATATCGTTTTTCAGTGAAAAACAACGAAAACAGACCGGTTTTTAGGGTCAAAATAGCGATATTTTGATCCCCCCACAAGTCGCGATTTTTGAGATATCGATATTTTTTGAAACGGAAAAAAGCACTAAGTTAGTGTGTTACATCGTAACTGCACTACCATAATAGATAGAACCGGTTAAGTTTAGTTCGGAAGTGGTTGGAACTATTTTGGAACCAAAAACCGAATTTTCGTGATTTTTGAGAAAACGGAACACTATAAATTTAGAAAATTTTTTGAAATTTTTGAGTTACGACAGTAAAATTAGTTGTTCGGACAACGTCCACTAGTGAATCTACGAGTTTTAAAACCTGCTACCCGAAAGCCTTCCGGGTTGCAGAGAAATCGAACATAACGTGTTTGATTTGGTGGATTCATCAA